TTCATATTTTGTGTTGTTTCACATCAAAATCAACTTTGTAAGTAAGGTTAAACGCCTCATGTATTTTAATGCAACTCAACATAATTTATATACAATCATATTCTCTTGGTATTTACAACTATGACTTTATATTATATACAACTATTTTCAATTAACGCAAATCGATCATTAACAATCATAAAATAAAATTACACTTTACACTTCCCCTTGGTCACAATGACCATCTTGTCTCAAGGACTATAACGTTCAGGGGCCCTCTTTTCTTGTGTGCTTCTATGTAACACTGACGTCTTGCATATTTTTTCTCGAGGCAGCACAACGTCTAACTCATCTTCTGAATCTTCACTTAAATCATTATCACCTCTTCCTTGTCCAAGATCTTCATTCGAATTGTTGTCAACTTTTACTTGTTTTAAGTCTCGTACATATCGACTCATTTTGTCCACTTCTACTGTTTGCTCTGAGATTATCCCTGTGATTATTCCAATCTTATATTGAGAGTCGCGTTGGCTGTCCGGGAGTTTAACCCATACTTTATCGCCAAGTTTGAATTGATTGGTTATCTTCTTACGAAGATCATGTGCATTCTTGTTGTTATCAATTCCTCTTACTCTAATTTCGTATTGAACTTATTTGCATGTGCAGTAGAAGATTTACAACTATCTTTTGAACTAATGTTATACCTATAAACTGCCTCCAGTATGCTGCACAGAACTCTCTTTGCCGTTCTTTTGACAGTTCGGTGATATCGTTCTGCAATTCCATTTCCCGAAGGTACATAAGCGCACCTGAATCGAAGTTTAATGTTCCATTTATTTACAAACTGAGAAAACAATGTGCTTCGAACTGCAGTATTATTGTATATCAGTATTTCAGATTGAGAAGCTTTTGTTCTCAAATGGAATACTGTTATATTCAAATTACTAACATCTTTTGGCATATCACTTCTTATTCCAAGTAAACATGATTCGTTTCTTCCCATAAAACAAACATCACGAGTTGCAGATATTGATACTCCACCAAAAGCTACTATTCCATCTATACCCATCAAAAAACAATAACCAAGTGGTTTGAAGTCAACTACAAGTGCTTCAACAAAAACTTCATTCCCATTTGGCCTGATTTCGGCTAACGCCTTCGCAATGTTGTTGTTGTCCATTTACAGTTACCATGCTAACTACTTTCTTTGTAATTTTTGGCGCACATTGTTTATAAATGATACAGCAGGTACATCCAAAATCAATCAACTCATCACGAAGAACGCCGTTAATGTCCAAGCGTATAGTAGATAACGCCATTATTGATTGTTTGGGGAGAGAGCTTTCGCAAACATCTTCTCCTTCGGCATGTTTTTTGGACACATTCTTGATATGTGTCCTTTCTCTTGACACGTGTAACACAAAACATCGCTTGTCTCCCGTCTCCGACCCAACTTGCTTCGATTGCTATGTTTTCCTAGATGACAATCTCTTGCAAAATGATTAGGGAGTTTACATTCATAACAAACTGGTTGTGTTTGATCTTCAAGCAACCTCACCTTAGCACGTCTTTTTGTTGCAGCAGCAGCAAAATTTTCATTCATTCCATCGTTCCGTTCTTCAATCATGAGTACTTTTGCTTGTACAAATATTTGTATAGTTGTAAGATCATCCACACAAGAACTTGATCTCAGCATCCTTCGAACTTCCTCATGAAGCTCAGAAACAAAGGCACATGCAATAGCTCTGTTTGGTAATCCACCAATCAGCGTAGATAATCTCTAAAGCATATTCTCTTGGTATTTACAACTATGACACAAAATACAGTCATATTCAGTCATATATACAATCATATTCTCTTGGTATTTACAACTATGACTTTATATTATATACAACTATTTACAATTAACGCAAATCGATCGTTAACAATCATAAAATATAATTACACTTTACATTTTGCTTCCAAACAACTTCTCTTATTCTTCATCACTAATACTACTTACAAATGAGTCTAAACCACTTTCATTATCATTGCTATCTAACACATAATTCAAAACATTATTAAGGAGAATTTTAAATTTTTTTTGCAAAGTCATTTTTGAAAAACTTACAAACTTCAAAGCTAAAATTTTGTATTTAAAATGTATAACATTTCTTGATAAGCAGCTGTTTCTGATTGGCAAATTATTATGTCATAATTTTCAAAAAAAATCATTAAAAAAGCATGGTTTGTTATAAAAAAAAGTGTCAAGAAGTCATCGAACACCAGTTAATGAAATCTTTAAATACCTTGCCGAAAGAGTTAATCTCTTTTTATATAATAACATAAAATAACATTTATAAATTCAATTACATTTTAAAATTTCACAAGGAAGCTATTTTTATTCAACATTAAATCATCTTTTAAATGCACAACCAAAATAAGACATTTTTTTTCCTAGGGCTGTAAATACAGGAGGACCTAATGTGGCAGTCACCTAAAAATGTTGAGAGCGAGGCTATGTCAGGGGTATCAGAGTCACATTTATTTCTCCTGACTTTGAATCTGTTGTTTGCTCCTGACTTTGAATCTGTTGTTTGTTTTTGACTTCTTGGTAAAGTTAGTTTTTTTCAACCGAATTGATACCTTCTGTAAATTATTTTTTTCTGGACATTTTTGTTGTTTTTGTTGCGATTTTCAAAACATTTTCAAAGTGAGTGTTTCTATCATTGAGTAGTTTTTGTTTTATTTTTATGGAGTAACATGCTGATAGAAATTGAGCCTTTACTACCTTCACTTTACTTAATAAGAAACAAATAAATAAAAAAAATTATATGAATTCCATAAACAAAAAGGCACAGGTTGGAGGACCCTGTTCAAATGATATATACAATGATATATGATTTTAACTATATGGAATTTTTGTTTTGTTTTTATTGCGTAACATGAAATTCTTACTTTTCTTTAGTTACTAAGAAACAAACAAACAATAACAAACAATAAGTTATGAAAAAAAGTTATAAAAGTTATGAGCTCCATAAAAAAAAAAAGGGCACAGGCCCTCAAATTCAAATGATATATACAATGATTTTAACTATATTAAAATAAAATTATTTACTGTGCCAAATTTTATTTTTGTGAGTCTTAAGAGGTATTTTTTTTCTCCAAAACACTTTTTTTGGTCATTTGTGACATGCTAACTTTTTTTTGGTCATTTGTGACATGCTAACTAACAGATGTACAAAAAACTTAATGATTATTCTCCAGTTCTTGAGGTTTTTTCAATTAATTCCACCTTTTAAGCTAATATTGAATGTTCGAATTCAAATTGTAGATTATAATTTGTAAGAAGTCACAATGATTTTTAACTAAAAACAAACAAAAAATTTCAGTTTTTAGGATTTTTTAAAAAATTTTTTTAAACTAAACTCATTTCTTTGACTTTTCAATTTTTAAAAACTGTAAAAGTCAATGAATTTACTTTAAAAACTATTATCTGCGTATTTTTTTGTCACACAAATGTGTCACAAAAAAAAAATCTTTTTCTTTTATAACTAATAGTTAACAAATGTTTAAAGTGCAATCTTAGTTGCATCTTATTAGCTGAAGATAAAACTAGAGGTGTACCGGAGGTTTTTGCCGGATATGCCGGATATTTAACTTTTCTAAAGTTCTATAAGTGTTTATAAAGAAAAAACAAGTCTTGCCAATCTACAATAAATGGTATTCAAGATCTTACTTTAAAGAATCAAAAGAAAAACTCTATGACATGGGGTATGTGGTGATGAAGTATAGAAAATAGTAATTAAAAAAAAAAAAAATGCATATACCTGTGTTATACCAGTTTTTTTTGATTTTATTTTTTTAAATCTTGAACACTGTTCAATGACAACACTTATTTTTTCTTTATAAACGCTTATAGAACTTCAGAAAAGTTCAATATCCGGCATATCCTGCAAAAATATCGGGTACAGCCCTAGATAAAACAACATTGATTTATTATTGATTTATAAATACAGTTAAATAGTTATAAATATAAATGTATAAATATTGTTAGAAAGTCAATTAGTTTTTATATAATTTTATTTTTCGTTATTCAAGATGAAAAAAAATTTTGTTATTAGTTTTATGTGTATCTTAGTCTATAAAAAATAAAAATTTTAGTGTAAAAAATAAATGCAATTTCTAAAATTAGGGTAATATATTTTCTTTAAATTTGTTTAACACAATTGTGTTTATAATTATTTTATAAATAGGTATGTAACATGCTACATGCTTTAGTAGTAGCTATGTAGTTTGTTTGAGTGGGTGATTACAGATATATAACAGGTTATGTTGTAACATTTGTAAGCTTTGTATTGTGCAGGTACCCCGTGAGCTATGCAGTATCAAAGTAAAACTGGACTAATGTTGCTTATGTTGCAATGTAGTAGCTAAAAACTGGCTATGAAGTAGCCATGAGCGTGCTCTGTAGTATCTATACAGCATTATTTTGCAGTATGTTGTATCATAGCTTTGTAGTGGACAGGTAGCCTGCTGGCTATGTAGTACCTGTAAGGTATTTAGGGGGCTACTTAGTAGCTATATAGCAGGCTATGTAGTAATTATGTCCTAGAAAAAATAAAAATTAATTAAATGTAATTTAAAACATATTTAACTTATTTATATTTATATTTAACTTATTTATATTATAAAACATATTTAACTTATAAATAATTATGTAAAATATGTGTATATAGCATGATAATGCATATGTAAAATATATTTATATAACTTAATAACATAATGATAGTTATGTTATAATAACATCATAATGATAGTTATGACCTTTATACTAATTGTTACATTTTAACTTTTTATATTAGACGTTATTTAAATATTTTGTTTTTTAGAGTATTTATATATCTATATTTATAATACCATCAAGATTTATTGAAATTTAAAGCTCTAACTTAAACACCTTAACAGAAATATAAACTAAAAATTAAGAACTAAAAAATCTTGATGTTGACTAATGATTTTTTTTTTTTTTTATGTGTAAGTTGGCAAAGCGAGGATTGAATCTTGTTCTAATAAGTCGATCAGAAGAAAAACTCAAATCAACTGCTAAAGAATTTGGTTTGTGTTTTATTTTATTAACTTATTTCTAACTATCTTTAATGTATTATACTTTTAAAATATTTATAAAATTATGTTTTAATATTTTATAAAAATATCTTTTAATAATTTATAAAAATATCTTCTAATATTTTTTTCAAAAAATATCATCAAGATATTTTTTGAAAAAAATATGATATTATTTGATGATATTATTTGTTTTTAAAGCATAGAACTTATTTTAAAACATAGAAAAAAAATTTTTTTTTTTTTTTTTTCGATTTTTAAATTGTTCAAAATTTAAAAATAAATAAATAGAAAGAACTCATATCACATAAATAGAACAAAAATAAAACTTTAAAATTTTTTTATAGTAAGTCTTATTTGCTGGAAAACAGGCAAATAGCCCTTACAGTATTTCATTAGTATTATCTCAGGACAGTTTGCAGGATTATCTTATTTAAGAACATAATTAATATTTTCTGAGTCCAGCAAAGCAATTAAGTTATTAGCATAATGAGCCAAAGCTAAATTTGGCTAAATGTCATTTTGTTTATCTAGTTACATGACTTTTTGTTTACTTAACAAGTCTGCTGTAAAAAAATCACTATTTAACAAAAATCAAAGAAATGAATTTAACAGAAAGAAAATGAAAAAGACTTATAAAAACTCTAAATTGTATGAATTACGAAAACATTGATCTTATTCAAGACATTAATTAAAGTTCTTTGTAAACAGTTCTGCCATATCTGTTGAATAGGTAATAAGGTTGCACCCTGTGCAAGAGATAAAGTGTTTGTCTTTCATAATGACTTTGAGTTTTTTCCATTTTTAAGCTAATATTTCTCTTTGAAGAACTTTACTTTTAAATAATTTTTTTTTGTAATTAAGTTTTCTCTAGTTTGTGATGACATATGTTATTATTTAAACATGTGAACATATGTTATTTTTTAAAGTTTTATTTTAAAGAGGAGTGCTTGTTGTTTTCATAAGTTTTTAATGATATTTTCAATGTTCTAATTGTAAGGGTATGATTCCTGATTGTAAGGGTATGATTATCTAACATACCAGAGTACCAGCCACAAAAACCAAACAAACAAAAAAATTTTCAGATGAAAATTACTTTGCAGGGATCTGTGAATCAAAGGAATTCTAACCACCAGATATCAATAAGTTTTAGATACAGATCAATATTTAAAAAAAAATGGAATTACAGAAATATTTTTCTCATTTTATTCTAATTATTTATAAAAATAATTATTCGCTATGCTGTTAATGTAATCGAACTAATTTTTTTGTTTTCTTTTGTTTTCATCAAAAATATTGTTAGAGTATGAAACACTAATATTAAAAACTTTCTTTTTAGAATCATTAGGTGTAGAAGTTAAAACGGTACAGTTTGATTTCAGTAAAACTGAAGGTTATGACAAAATTCAAAAAATATTGGTAAATTATGACATTGGTGTTTTAGGTATTTTAATATTGATTATAAATTATGTTTAAATAAATTAATGAATATTTATTTGTTATTATTGTCGTTATATGATTTTATTTTTAGATCTTGAGATGTCCTTTAATAAATTATATATATATATATATATATATATATATATATATATATATATATATATATATATATATATATATATATATATATATATATATATATATATAAATGTTTTTTTATGATAGAACTAAAAAGTATAAGTGAATGTTCTTTATTGTTTATTTACTTAAATTTATGCATTTAATTATAAATTAAATTGTCTTTTTATTTAGTAAATAATGTTGGCATAAGTTATGATCATCCTGATTATTATTTACAGAACTCAGATGACGTAAGTTTTTTTAGTTTATTTTGTAGAACTTAGATGATTTTTTGTTGTTGTTGAGTAAAAAAGTGATTTTTATTTTATTACCAATTTTTTTATTTTTATTTTATCAATAATTAAATTTATTATAAATATTTGATAATTTAGTTTTATGAAAGTTTGGTTAACATAAATGTATTGAGTTTACTTAAGGTAATGTTTATGTCTAAATATTATTTCTTGTATTATATCATTATTTTATTGTTGTACCTAAACACGTTGTAAAAATATTGTATATGCATACATATGCATATATATAACATACAGGAAAAATATGCATGCTATAACTGCATGCACATTTATATAACAAAACTACCATAATTATAGTAACCATAGTTAAAATAACTTTAAACAGAAATATTGTAACAGCACTTCTATAAAATCATACACATCTTTCATACATACAAACATTTTTATTTAAGTATAATTGTTTTTATAAACAACTGTCACCTAACCCTAACTCTGAATTAAAAAATGCTTTAAAATTTTGCAAAGAGACTTAAAAGAAAACACATTATCTATAAGTTTTTGGGAAGAGATATTATCAATCATCTAAATTTTTTTTTTTTTATTTAACATCTTCGCTTCCAACAAGGCTGCAAACAACCACTAATTAGTGTTAGATGTTACTGGAAGAGAAAAGATGAAGATTGTAGAGCAAGATAACAATTGACAGACGACTTAAAAGATTGTAAATTGTATGAATCAGGAAAGCAAGATGAAGGAAGCAAATTCCAAAGAACTGATGTTTAAGAAAAAAAAACTAGACGAATAAGAGTTTTGAGAGCACTTAGGAATAGTAACACAATGATGAGTAACACAAGAATGAATTTTAGTTAATGGCACAAGAGACGCTAGCTCTTTAGAGCAGTGCCCATTATAGTATTTGTAGAAAAGAGAAAGAGAAGCAACATTACGACGACGTGAAGATTGTAATGTTGCTTCTCTTTCTCTTGGTTGAAGGTTGGCTGCAAGAGCAGGTCCAACTATGTTTACAATGGGTTTTTGTACCTTGTCTAAAAGAGAAAGAGCATCATTAGAAGATCTGCCCCAGATATGGCAATAGTATTCCATACAAGGTCAGATTTGATATTTATAGAGATAGAGAATAGAATCCAGAGTAAGAAAGTGTTGAGCTCGATAAAGAGGTGCAGCTTTAGTAGATGCTAATTTTGCAACAGATTTGATATAAGGTTTCCAAGAAAGATCAGAAGTAAGATCCTAGAAAATGAAGGGTAGATGACTTATCAAGTACATTACCGTTCATAAATATAGGAAGGTCTAAAATATTGCGATAACGATTACCTGAAAAAAATTGAGTTTTATCTGAATTAAAGTTTACCAGCCACTGTGAGCCCCATGCTGTAGTCGAAGTGAGATCCTTTTCAAGCTCAAATGCCCCCTGCAAGCAATCAGAAGGAGTTTGCATCTTATCATGACAAGAATAAATGATAGTATCATCAGTGAACAATGCCACCTTAGATGTGAGAATATCTGGAAGATCGTTAATCTAAATTAAAAAGAGTATAGGGCCAAGGATTAAACCTTGAGGAACTCGTGAGGTTTACAAAATAAGAACATTGATTTTTTGTTAAGGGAAACATTTGTCAACTTACTAGAAACTTACTGCCAGAAAAAAAGTTTTAAATATATTTTTTTCTTTTTTTTAGATGACCAAAATCGTTCTGGAAGGAATGGTGTCAAGGTTTTTTTTACTATTTTTTATACAAGTTAAAAAAGTATTGAACATTTTTTTAATATAAAGAATAGATGACAAAGTTTTTTTTATATCTTTGGATAAAAAGTTTAAAAAGTATTTTTTGATAACTTATTAATTATTTACTTTTATTATGTATATGATATGTAGTTTTTATTAGTTTCGAGATTCTCACATATGATCATGAGAGTGTTTTCTCATGACTCCCACAATATATATTTTTTGAAACATTTACAAAAAATAGTTGCTAATTATACTCTGTAATATTGTATAGAATATATATAAATTTTATAATAATATTAATTATTATAAAACTTATATATATTATTTAAATCTATTTTTAAAATAGTTTTTCTAATTTAAAATTTATCATAGTTGTCTACCATTTAATTGTAATCTCCAAAAATAATTTAATTGTATTCTCAAAAAATAATTTAATTTTAATCATAAAACTGTATTATCATAAATAATGATGAAACTTTAATCAAAATCATGAATAATGATATAATACTCATCAAAGTATTAGTACAACATTTCACCATCACATGTTTACTTATACAAATAATTAACTGTGAATAGAAATGAATTCAATACTATTTGTACAAATCTGGGCAAACACTTAGAAAATGATGTTGAAAATGAACTTTTTATTTTAAGATATATTTTAGAAGATAATTGTACTATTATAGAGAATTCGGAATTCATTTTAAAGAGGGAATGAAAAGAACTAATACTATTGGTAGAAATGCACCTGCTAGAAAACTTATTACAATGGTATAGTTGATGAATTTGCAAGTAAAAGAGCTTGGAAAATTGATTAATGTTTAAGTTCTTTGTATAATTATTTTTTAAATGAAACCCAATAAAAATGAATTCAATAAAATTAAAAAAAATTTTTGAAGGGCCCCAAAAAGTTACAGAACAGGGTCCCAAAAAGGTACAACATGGTTCTGGCAAGAATTATATTATAGCTATTGCAACAGCTTTTAAAAAAAGTCAAAGTTTGTTTTGTGTGGAATAAAATAATGAGAAATAGTTGCTTAAGTTTATTTATGGTAGTGGTCTAGTGGTAGAGTGCTTGCTCATAATTGAAAAATTCCACCACATCCCGGGTAGTACCGTCCTCAACTTTGTTTCTCTGTGCAGTGGCCTTGTTTGTTAAGGTGCGTGTGTCAGAGTTAAAAAGCAGAGTGAGGGTTGTAACCACAATTATAGTTGCCTCCTTGACTGTAGTAACCTTCATGGCCTTGGAGAAGTGAGTTAACAAAAAAATTAAAAAATTCTACATCTTTTTTTTTTTTTTTATACAATTTTTTTAATTTTTTTTATTTCAGACATCAGTATTTTTTAACAACTA